AACAGTAGTAAGAAAAGCCATCTGTCATCTGTCTGTTGTTTCAGCCTGCTAAGCACTCATTTCTCTGCTATAACAGAACTTCCCCAACAACAAAAAAAGGGGGGGGTGGTTTGGTAGAACAATGCTCCACCGGCCCAGGCTCAGCCAATCAGAGTCACTCTCTAGAGTTTAGCATTTGGAAATCTCGACTCCAAATGTTACATTTTCTGTATAGGCAGAAAATAGCTGGAGCTGATTTATCTGGCTGCAGGTGGCTACAGATAATTGTCCCTTAGTCACTAGTTCCCAGCACCTGGACCCACAAAGTCCAGTCTTTGCAAAGAATTCTGCTAAGTCAATTTAGTGAGAATCCCCTGCCGTGGATATCGGAGCACCCTTGATATTTGATGAAGTTCCTCATCTTCCATTTTTGCCATGTGAGTCCTCGACCTGCCTTTAGCAAGAATTCTCTTAGATTGGTTTAGCAAGAATTCCTCTCCCCTTGATGTCTCCTGTGTTACATTCCCACCCACTGAACCCCTCCCCCTGTTGCAATTGTCTTGGATAAAGCCTTCCTTACTAACAAGTGTCAGAATCATTTTTTTTTCTGTAATATGCTATGATCTCAGGCAAGCTACAATTTTGATTTTAGTCTTAATCATCAGTGCCTTTTATTTCCGTCCACTCTTCCTTCCTGCCATTCTTCCTTCCCTCTCTCTCTCTCTCTCTCTCTCTCTCTCTCTCTTTCTTTGGCAAGGATACTCCAGGCTCAGGCTGCGCTCCATCCGTGACGTTCACCACTGGGAAGATGGGCAATTCCTGTCTGGATCTGGCATCCAGCCCCCTTTGCCACCCCCCACGTTCCTTCTTCATGGCCACCAGAGCGAATGTCTCAGCCCCTGTCTTCTAAAGGAGAACGGGGTAATCCCAACCATGCTCAAGCAGCTGGGAGGACGAAACAGATAATGTGTGTAAAACTGCTTTGCGGGTTGCAAAGTGTTATATAAATATATTTCTAAAACAAAAGAAAAAAGAAAGACAGCTTGATGAAGTGTTGAAATTGTAGAAGTGCTTTGACTAAATCTTTAAAAGAGGAAATTATACGCCTGGACACAGCAGCCGCCGCCTGATTATCCAGGGTCAGCTGCTGCAGCTGTGAGCAATTTACCCACGTGATTATCTCGTTTCGATCTCCCTCCATTTAAGGATAAGATAGCTGCAGAGCAGCTACAGCAGTTGAGGGAGACAGCTTATGTGAGCACGGAAATGTGTTCATCACATTTGCAAAAGTAACACAAAAATCCCAAGGTACCTAGCGATGATGGTTTGCAGGAAGAATCCTGCATATTTTACGGGCTAACAAATTTTAGTTGCAATGTCTGCCAGACTGTGTGAACTGATGCAATAAAATTTGGGAATTTTTTTTCCTGGTTAGTACTGCTTATAATTAGCATCCAATCTTCTTTGGTGATTAAGAGCCAGAATGCCTTGATTTGAATCCTGAATCTACCATTTATCAACTCTTGTCTTCAGCAAGTAGTTAACCTCATCTAAAAAATGAGAATAATTATGGTACCTAATTCATATTGAGTAGAATAAATGAGTAAATGAGTAAGTGATTAGAACCGTAGCTGGTCTATATAAAGCTCTATAAATTTTAACCGTTATTCAGAGTTGATCAGAACACATGGAATAGTTCACATCTGAGGGCCATAAGAAGTATGTTTAAACCATACTCCCGAGTCATTTAGCTGATCTGTTTCAAAGCCCTGCGATGGTTTCCCGTTGCCTTGGAGACAAAATCCAAATTTCTAACCCTGGCTATATGAGCAGGGACACAAAAGAAACTAGAAATATCTTCTGGAGAGTGGGCCCCTTGTAGTACAGGCTTCCCCCCACTAGATGGATGCTCTAGGAGCCTACCTGTATCAGTGCACCAGCTGGCGTTGTTGTGAGAGGCTGCATTCGGCTTCCGTGAAATTTTTTTGAAGACTCAACACGTTTGCCCTTTTCATGATGGTGATTTATGGCACCCACCCACATCACGCTGAGTGTTCAGCAGTTTTTGACCAAAAAAGGCATGACTCCCATGCCCCACCCTCTCTATTCACCTGGTCTCTCCCCAAGTGATTTATCTTTTGTTTCCCCAAATGCAAAAAGTCCTTAAAGGGAAGCGTTTTACCAGCATGCAAGAGGTGAAACAAACAAAACAGGAGAAGCACTAAAAGACATCAAAATCAAGTTCAAAAACTGTTCTAAGCAGTGGAAAAAATGTCTTGATGGGTGTACTGCATCAAATAGAGAGTACTCTGAAGGTGACTGAAGGTGAAACACGTAAGAATAAATACACAATTGTTTATAAATAAACCCCAGTTTGGGGGGTGTCCCCCCTCCCCATTCCATATATCTTTTGCTGTTCTCTAATTGCTTCTATATCCATCATGTCCCAACAAGACTGCAAGCTGTTGAAGGCCATGGACCACACTGGCACTATACCTTTCTACCCACCTTCCCCCTCGGGGAACTTAGCCCAGCAGCAGACATAGGAGGCTGCCGATGAACAGTTGTGAGTCTGACTGCAGCAACATCAAATAGAAAACACCCCAGAGAACACGAGGCACTTCTAACCAATGCCTCTAGATCAGTGGCCTTCAAAACACTTCGCCCCAACCCAATTTTTATGTTGCAAATCAATACACATGAGAACACATCCATATGTTTACACAGTGAATATCTAACTGAAAACAAAGGTTTGCAACCTTTGCAACCTTAACCTTCCTCCATAAAATGTGCTCTGATATTTTCTATCCCAGTAAAATCCAGCGCAGGTCATCTCAAGTCACCTGGAGGTCACACTAAAACATAGATCAGATCCTGCAGGACTAGGGTAGGGTCAGAGTCTGCCTTTCTGTCATGTTCCCAGAGACACTCTGGGTCCACGCCCACACTTTGAGTAGTAAGAGCCTGGTCTAGTCTATTTAAATTTTTTTTTCAATGCTGAGAACGGCTCTCTAAATTTACTTCATAGCCCCCTACAGAAAGAGTTGTTCTCTGCTGTATGTAAAACACAGCTCCAAATAATTTCAGAAACTCCCTTCATCTGTCTCTACGATTCCACTGTAATCGTCTTAACCTTGGGAATAGAAATCCTAGGCCTACACAGAAGTGGGGGTTGGCAGTTCACAGCAAGAATGACGGAAGTATTACCTTTCATCTGGACTTAGGCTGAAATGCCTACCTGGCTCCCAGCCCTTTTCTCACCGTGCTAAGCCTACACCTCACAGCCCCATTAATGAACTGTTGAGCGGCTTACTAAGAACAGAGTACTGAACCAAGCACTTTATGTCTAACCCCAGATATTCCTACCGCCACCCTATCTATGCAGGTGTTCCCATTTCACAGATGAGAGAAGGCAAGTAGCTAGTAACTGGTGGGCTGGGATTCCAGAGATTATACTCTTGTGACAGGCACCCTCCAAGACGGTGCCAGTGAGCCTTGCCTCCCAGGGTTCACACTGAAGCGGGCTGACCCGGTGACCAACAGAGGACTGAGGTTATGACTGCAACTTCCAAGGCTCAGTTAGAAGACATCGTGGCTTCGGTCTTGCACTCTCTTGGACAACTCCCCTTAGAAGCAGCCAAGCTGCCATGTCATGAGAATTCCCAAGCAGTACAGCAACGGATGGAAGCATCCAGCCAACACCCAGCACCAGCCTGTTAGACAGATGAGTGAGCCATGATGGAAGCAAATCCTCCAGCTCGTCTGGCTTCAGAAGACTTGCAGCCCACTGACTTCTGGACTGCAACCTTGCAGAGAATGCAAGACAGAACCACCCCGCTACGCCTCTCCCAAATTCCTGACCCACAGACGTTGCGTGAGATAATCAACATTTACTACTGTTCTATACTGTTAAGTTTTGGGGTCATTCCTTATGCAACAATAGAGAACTAACATAGTTCTTAACCAAGGGGTTATAGTGCATCATTTTGATTCAGCCCCCCAAAAGGAAAGTGGAAGTCTTATGGCCCTGACCGGCATGGCTCAGTAGGTTTGAGTGTCCTCCCGCAAGGTGAAGGGTCACCAGTTTGATCCCCGGTCGGGGCACACTCTGGGACTGCGGGGCAGGCCCAGGTGGGGGCGCGTACCCAAAGCAATGGATCAGTGTTTCTCCCGCACATCAGTGCTTCTCTCCTTTTCCTTCTCCCTCCTTTCCCTCTTTCTAAAAATAAATAAACAAAATCTTCTAAAATTTTTTATGAAGGTCATTTGGATTACTTCTTCACTGTGGCAGCTTCTACTATGCATGTTTCTACAAATTTTCTTTTTTTTAATTTAAAATTTCTTTTTCTTTCAGACAGTAAAATTTATTTTTCTATTAAAGTATAACATTTAAATGACTTTCTATTAGTTTCAGGTGCGCAGCATAGTTAGCCAATCAGGTACGTGACAAAGTGTTCCCCCTGATATTCCCCGTGCCCACCTGGTACCACGCACAGCTATCACCGTATTATTGTCTATATTCCCCATCCTGTACTTCCCATCCCCATGACTGTTTTGCAACTACCTATTTGTATTTCTTAATCCCTTCACTTTTTCCACCTAGTCCCCCAACCCCCTCTCCAGCTCAGCAAATTTTCATTCTCTCCTTGCAACCAACCTTGTGAGAGGCATTACTGCCCCTTCAGACTTGAGTAGGTGACTCCCTTTAGCCAGCTGGATATGGGAGTAGTAATGTTTTTGGAGATACTACAAGAATCTGCCTGCGCTCCTTAGCGTCCACCCTCATTTGTAAAAACGACATATCCCAGAGAGTGAACATTCCTTTAGCCTGGGGAACAAAATGAGAAAGCACAGAACATGTACTTGAACTTGACTCGTAGCTTGAGGACAAGCTAAGCTGAGCCCAAGCAGAGGCCCTGTTGCCTGAAAGACCTATGAGTGGGAGGTCAATGCTTGGGGTGGTAGTCCACAAGATTCTAGGTTTGCTTGTTACTGCAGCAAAAGCTGGCACATACACTCACCATGCTGTATGATGCCATATTCCATAAGCCGGTGGCACAGCTGCTCTGCCTCTTTCCTTGTGGTGGCCTCCCCTTCCTGAACCAGCCAATCCAAGAATTCAGAGGCCATGAAGGTGCGCTCATACTTGACCCCTTCCTCTTCCCGAGGCTGCAGGAGTGTGTTTTCAGGGCTCATCAGCCTGCGAGGAAGAAAGGGACGAAAAATAAAACTGCACAAAAGGAAAAGAGCTCATCTGAAATCCAATGAACGTCATGGACTTCTGTGAGTCATCACAGCAAGCTATCAGATAGACAGATGTGGCTGTCACGTGCTGCCACAAATGTAATTTTTAAGAGAAGGACATGCTTCAGAAGTGAACAAGATGCATTTTCTCCTGGTAATTAGGAAAAAAAAAAAAAACCAAAACGCAATCCAAAACTCTAGCATTAATGGACAGTTCATTTTAGCCATCTTGAAAAGGAGTTACAATTTACTGACCAAGCTCCACCCTACCTTTCAAAAAAGCCTAGTATTTCTTCCCAAAGGTATTAATCCATTTCCCAATTTGTTGTTCTACTGAGAATTGGTTCTACTACCACTATAGACTGAAAGTTTATATCTTCCCCAAATTCACATATTGCAACACTGGTGCTCAGTGTGATGGTATTTGGAGATGGGATTGGGACATGATTATGTCGTGCAGGAGGGGCCCCCATGATGGCATTAACAGCCTTACAAGAGGAGCCGTGAGAGAGCTTGCTCCTGCCTTCTCTCTCTGTGAGGACACTCGGAGACCACTGTCTACAAACCCAGGACTGATCTTCCACCAGACACTGGATCTGCCAGCCCCTTGATCCCGCACGTCCCAACTGCCAGACTATGAAACGTAAGTGTTTGTTGTTCAAGACATCAGTCTAAGTGGCCAGACAGACTACAGCAACTCCATAAATCACTCCCTTCCGATCCCCCGCCCCCACATAGCTTGTTTCTCACACCTACCTTCCCGTGCACGTTTCAGGTTCTCTAGCTTCTGTCCTCACCACGCCTCCAAAAACAGTTCTCACTGGGGCCATAAACATGCTCCCCTGCGTCCATATACAATGGGCCTTTTGTAGGTGCCCATTATGGTCGATGTTAATAGTGTCAAGTGCTGTTGATCACTCCCCTCAGCTAGAGGGCCATCCCTGCACGGGTTTGCCTCCCATCCAGACAGCTTCACCCCAAACTAATCACACCATTTCTCCCTGCTTCAGTGTCCCCAAACTCACAGTAAACACGAAGGACACTATCTTGTCTACTTCCATCCCTGGCTTGCTGTGATCATCAAAACTCTTTGGGAAGAAAAGGGCCTAAGTATATAACTATATGCTCTCATACTGAGTACTTATATTTAATATAATAATGACCCTTCCTAGAAGATGGAAAGGACAATTGCTATATATCCATCAACATAAGTGACAGAATCACAAAGACATTCTATAGGCGACAACGTGCAAAGATGGCCACGCCAGCTCCTCTCATGTCTCTTTCCAATGTGACTTCAGCGCTTCTCCCCTCAAGAGACGGAGTCTATGTCCCCTTCCCTTGACCCCGGGGAAGCGCGGGGTTTGTGAGCTGCACCGGCAAACTTCATGCAGCAGGAGTGACATATGACACTTCCGAGGCGAGGCTTTCAGAGGCCTTGCAACTCCCACCTTGACCCCCTGCAATGCTGTGATGAGACCACCCTGTAAGGAAGCGAGTCTCACCTACTGGAGGTAAAGAGGCCACAAAGACAACTGGGGTGCCCAGGTGACAGCCAGCACCAATTCCCAGACACATGAAGGAGGCTGTCCTGGGCCTTCCAGGCCAACTGACCCTCCAGCAAGCACATGAATGAGCTCAAGGAAAAAACCTCAGGACCCACAGAACCCAGAGAAATAACACATCATTGTTGTCTTAAACAACCAAGTTGGAGGTGATTTGTTTCACAGGAAGAGATAATACCCGTACTGATAGGCAACAGCAAAAAGATGTGAAAACCCACAAAAAGAGACACATCACCCTGCTCAGAAAGTACCGAAGGAACAATGAGCAAATATTAGCAGGTTCTGGAAATAAACTGCATGGAATACAGCCACGTGGGGCTAGGCCTGGGAGCCTACATGGGTGATGGAACTCATGCGCCCATGTGTATGCCCACATAGGAATACTACCATTTCTTCACCTCCGTTGGCGGCCCTCAAGGTATTTTGGAGTGAAAATAGGGTAAAATGAGCCTTCTAAGTTTGCCAGTTTTGTACCTTATTTCCTCTAAGAAGTTGCGTTCGATTCCACAAATATGGACCATGCACTACTTCCATATTCCCCGCCAAGTCCCTTTCCAGAGCCCTAGCCCTGGAGGAATCGCCTACTTGCTTCACTAGGAACTTTTTGAGACAGAGGTCCCTGTCTACATGGTTCACAGTTGTTTCCAGCACAGTAGGTCTTTAAAAAGTATTTGCTGAAGTGAAACTCGCCTCTATGCATTCCTGCGCCATGCATCACTATCCAAAGGTATATTCAGAATGCCCCCCTGAGGACAACCCCGTGCCGAGAGGAGGTGAATCCAGAGCTCCTGCCCTGGCCTCTGTCTCTGTTTCTAATCACTCTTCCAGCTCAGAGATTTTGTTTCAGGGTGTGGGGAGGACAGGTGCATGGGATTTTACTGATGTCACTTCTTGTAATCAGAAACATGACCTGCCAGCCCTCTAGAGCTCCTGCTAACTAGCTGGTGGCCTCTGGACAAGTGGCCGGTCAGTTGCTGCTGCCAAGAAAAAGAGGTCAGTTGGCCAGCCTGCCTGCAGTGGTGCGGCTTGCCACTTACAACACGCACCACCACCTTCAGCTCCTCCTTATTTTGTTTCCCTTTGGAATCAAGTCATGTCGCCATCCAGTTCCTCTCTTTAAGACCAGGCCTTTCGTGGGATATAATTTCAGGATTCCTATGTAGGCACAGTGGTAAAGCAAAAATTTGACTTAGTGCTTGTTCCAATGATGTTTTTCTATATAACAAGCTACCCCCAAGCTGGGTGGCTTTAAACCACCACCATCTGATTACATCATTGGATTCTGTGGGTTGCCTGGGGCTGAACTGGGCAGCTGCTCTGTCGCTCTTGCTGGAGGTCACTTGCACAGATGCAAGCAGATGGTGGCCAGGACAGGGCGCCTGGCCCTGTGGTGCTCCTGCACCAGCAGACCCTCTCTTTCCAGTGAGGCAGGAGGAACACTGAGGTGCAGAGATAAAGAGAGAGGAGGCAGATGCTGCCAGGACAGTTTTATGGTTTTATTGAGATACAGTCTACTTCCACGCACTGAACTCATTTCATGTGTACAATTCAATGGTATCTGGTATATACACAGAGCTGGGTATACCACATTTCGTTCATCCATTCATCTGCTGACCACTATTTGGGTTGTTTCCATTTTTGGTTATTGTGAAAAATGCTGCTCTGAACATTCATAGACAAATTTTTGTGTGGCCATATGTTTTCATCACTCTTGGATATACGCATAGGAGTAGGATTGTGGGGACATGGGGTAACTCTGTTTAGTCTTCTGAGAAACTACCAAACTATTTTCCAAATGGTTTAACCATTTTATATTCCCACCAGTAAAGTATTAGTTCTAATTTCTCTGCATCCTCACCGATATTTGTCATCATTTTTTTATTAAGGCCATCCTAGTAGGTGTGAAGTGGTACCTCAATGTAGTTTTGATTATCATTTCCTTCATAATTAATGACATTGAGCGTGTTTTCCTGTGCTTATTTGTCCACTTGTATGTCTTCTTTGGAGAAATGTCCGATCAGATCCTTTACCCACTTTCAAATCAGGTTACTTGTCCTTTTATTATTGAATTTTGTGTTCTTCACATATTCTAGATCCAAGCTCTTTATCAGACATATGATTTGCAAATATTTTCTCCCATTCTGTGGGTTGTTTTTCACTTTCTTGGTGGTATCGCTTATAACCCAGAAGCTGTTTAATTTGGATGTAATCTAATGTATCCATTTCTCTTTTGTCACATGTGCCTTTGGTGCCACATTTTGGACACCATTTCTTAGCTCAAGGCCATAAACATTTACACTTAGGTTTTCATCTAATGGTTTTATAGTTTTAGTTCAATGATCCATTTTGAGTTAATTTTCCTATAAGACACAGGAGTCCAACTTCATTCCTTTACATGCAGCTCTCCAGCTGTCCCAGCACCATTTGTTGAAACGACTATTCATTCATTCCTTGTTGAATTATCTTGGCACTCTTGTCCAAAATCAGTCAACCATGCCAGCCCTTCTTAATGCCTAAGCTCAAAAGACACAGATGTCACTCACCCTGAATTACATTTGCTAAGGCCATCTGACACATGCCAGACCCAAGGGGAGGGGACACACGGACCACCTCCTCATGGAAAGAACCATATGCACATACAGGAAGAGGTGGAAGTATTTGGGGCCATCTTTGGAGACCAGCTACCATACAGCTTTATTTTAATCAGTCAGCTGAATGGCAATTCCATTCCGTATAGCCCATGCACGGTTTTACACTTTCTCTTCTTCATTTAAGATTTTTTACTTCACTTAAAGTGTGAAATAGTTTCAAAAGCATCAGCTCTAAAGACAAAGATAGCGTCAAATCCTCACCCTGCACACTTGTTGGCTACATGACTCTGTTTTCCCAGGCGGACGACGGGGATAACAGTGGTGCCTCCTTGGTGAGCCGCTGTGCAGCTTCCGTGTGATCACGCGTGAAATGCTTCAGTTGTGGTGCCGGCACACCGGGAACACTGAACAGACTTCAGCCACGAAGATATGATGATGATGATGATGATGATGATGATGATGATGAAGAAGAAAATGAAGATGAAGATGATGATGATGATAAAAGTTTTCTGGATGGAGCCATTGCTTAATCAAGTCAAACACCTTTCTTTGTGGCAAAAATGAATGAAGACTGTGTCTATATTACACTAGACAAGATTAACAGCTCCATTTTAATTAGTCATCAGAAATGTGTATGATGCTCTGAAACTCTTAGATTTTATGGAACAAATTCAATTTTGGTCAAAACTGTCCTGTGCTGGCCTATCATCATTACATCAAGCCACAGGCCTTAGAAGGTGTTAGGCATTAATAACACTCACCTCCGGCAAGTACTCCCCAGATGTTGACCGTGCATGTGA